GCCCAATCAGCTGTGTCTGTCCAAAACCATGTCTTACATAGTCGACATGTGATCCCCGGGACCCCATCCAGATTTCCCCCCGACCCCCCCCCCCCCCCCCCTCCCCGTCAGAATTGCAACGTGCAGCTTTGCGAGATGCTGCTGCGGCGAGGGGCGGACGTGAACCACCGCAACGGCCGCGGGAACACCCCTCTGCACTACGCGATGGCATACGATACCCAAGGTGTGCTGGGGGAGATGCTCATCTCCAGGGGCGGCGACGACACGGTCACGAACAGGGACGGCCTTTCCTGCTACGATGGCCTCGGTGGCACTCCTCCGAGCGCTTAACCGGGAACATGAGGGACACCGAGACGACGACAAAGCGTGCCGATGTTATTCACATGTACATAGCAAATCGACACAATCCGCGAGGTCGCTATTATTGTAGTGTAGTTGATTCAGGCGGCAGTGTTCTCAAGTGTGAGACGGAGAGTAGAGTCTGTTTCACTGTGTTGCCCAACAACGAAGCAAGACAGCTCGACCGATTGATCAAGACCTTGTCGCTCGTGTGGTGATGAGCTCGGAGATCCTCTATCATAGCACCGGTACTATAATATGTGCCCCCCGTTGAGGCGGTCGAGTACATTATGTTGTGCGGGGTCGAGAACGCTCACTCCGCGCAAAGGGGATGATCGCACCGCGTCGTGTTGAATTGGTCAAGGACCCTCGAGGCAGTTACACAGTGCTCATAACTGTCTCTGGAAGTGAAAGCACCAGAAAATAAAGTAAGTCATACGCAGCTGTCATCCGTACGCAAGGAGGTAAGCACAACATGCCGAACACCCTTAGCAGGATGAAGCGCACCCTTCATGCGACTCGCCGAATACCTCACGGGGCTTCGCGCTTTGTGATGTGCCAGCCTGGTCCGGTGAGTTCCGTCCCGACTTTGCAGGGATGCGATGTCAATGGTCTAACGACTACGGCATGCACGACTAGACTATGAGTACACCCCCCCTGTGCCCCCAGGTTGTTTGTGCGGCGTGCAAAACGTACCCATGTCCCCTACCTTGTACAGTTGTCAAATGCGCCTTATTGTTAGTGGGAATAGTTTAGGAGAGCAACTCCTGAGCCATTTTCCCGGGTAAAATGAGACACGTACCGCGGATAATCTCTTCTGTCTGGCCCCGAGTCGGACCTCTTTAGATTGAGAGGCAAGCCCATGCGGTATGGGCCAAAATATGATACATACAGAGAGGGTTGGACACAATGTTGCTTTGTCTCTGTACATTTGAAGGTGGAACACTGTTCGCGTGAGTTCGGCTCTATCTACTGCATGGACGGTAACACCATGCATGGGATCATTTTAAGAACTAAGAGGTTTTCCTCACCTCACAAACCGCTTTGCAGAAAGCACAGAGCTCAAAGTATATTCATGTGTGTCTTTGGGGTGGGGAGTTAATGTTTGACAAGAACGTATGACCAGCGTGATCTGAGAGCCACTGGTACAGAGGGTGCGATCGGGCACCACCGTTAGTGACAACGACTGCCTTGACTTGCAATTAAATTAACCGTGGGGAAAAACTGAAGAAAAACAAACGCGGTTTTCTCCAACGAGGCTTGAAGAAAGCGTTCGCGTGTGTCCAACACCTTTTCCGGCCGGGTCACGAAGCGTCGTCGTACGCGGCGTCGTTGTGCTCGAACCACGCGGTGTGCACTCACTCGTAGCATCTACTTTGATAATATTACCATATTGTGCTTATTATTATATTTACTATCCAATTTCTTACAATAACGAAAACAGCATGGACAGAAGAGCAACACGAAAGAAAAGCACTATATTTTTATTGTACGTAAACCTTCGGTTTATGCAGCCCAGGCGGTGGAGGAAAGAAACAAATAAACCCGAGAGCCGGCACCTCGAACAAACCACGAACACGGTCGTCAACAACACAGGAAACAAGGAACGGTCCCGCAAGCACACATACGCGACATTTCAGCATGCTATTGACACTTCGGCATTAAACCCGTAACCAACGATTCTAAGTGACTTGCTTCAAGGAAGGGATCCCTGTTGCCGTTATGTAGGCCATACACTGTCAATGCAACCTCTTGTGGGCACGGGGTAGTAATGAGACAGAATGCTCATAACACATGCGTGCTGTATCGTCAAGTCGTTTGTCCGTTGACGAACCAAACGTGGTGATAGCCTTGGTGCTTGGCAGTCTTGAACGAAACACTTGAAATGGGTAGAAACAGAAAGACCACCTACTCAAACGACAACAGGCAGCATCGCCCGGAGGCATACATGCACCCGACCTTTAGGACACGCACTATGGATACCGACTCACCCCCTTCAACCCTAAAACAAAAACGGTAATCAGTCGCGTCTCCCTCTTTCTATCGTCAACTCCTACACCCGTCGTCCTTGCAGCTAACAACTTTATGGATTCCCAAGTCCCGAAGCACAGGCGGGCATAGTATTCTAGCTCTGTACGTGACGGGTACGAATCACGCTGTTGCGATAATCAATCGCGAAACGCCAGTTCGTTGTGTTTCGGTCGTGGTACACCTTGCCTTCCTCGTAATGCGATGTATGGCCGTTGTTGGGTGCTGGGGTAGGAGGGCGAGCATTCTCCACCGCCACAAAGGGCGCCTACAAACCAAAGTCGAGGAGGGTCGCTCTCCCAACAGAACAAAACATGTCCACAATCATAAGGACGCGACTCCATCAATCCACTGGTGAAAAAATGGTGCAACAGCAAAAGTGAAAGATACAAAAGACATCTCCCGCAGCTCTACATCCATCCCCCCCCCCCCCCC